TTGATTTGCATTTTAAATGAGGGAAATAAGTATTTGACCCCTCTGCAAAACATGGCTTAGTACTTTGTGGCAAAACCCTTTTTGGCAATCACAGAGGTCAGACGTTTCTTGTAGTTGGCCACCAGGTTTGCACACATCTCAGGAGGGATTTTGTCCCACTCCTCTTTGCAGATCTTCTCCAAGTCATTAAGGTTTTGAGGCTGACGTTTGGCAACTCAAACCTTCAGCTCCCTCCACAGATTTTCTATGGGATTAAGGTCTGGAGACTGGTTAGGCCACTCCAGGACCTTAATGTGCTTCTTCTTGAGCCACTCCTTTGTTGCCTTGGCCGTGTGTTTTGGGTCATTGTCATGCTGGAATACCCATCCACAACCCATTTTCAATGCCCTGGCTGAGGGAAGGAGGTTCTCACCCAAGACTTGACGGTACATGGCCCCGTCCATCGTCCTTTTGATGCGGTGAAGTTGTCCTGTCCCCTTAGCAGAAAAACACCCCCAAAGCATAATGTTTCCACCTCCTTGTTTGACGGTGGGGATGGTGTTCTTGGGGTCATAGGCAGCATTCCTCCTCCTCCAAACACGGCGAGTTGAGTTGATGCCAAAGAGCTCGATTTTGGTCTCATCTGACCACAACACTTTCACCCAGTTCTCCTCTGAATCATTCAGATGTTCATTGGCAAACTTCAGACGGGCATGTATATGTGCTTTCTTGAGCAGGGGGACCTTGCGGGCGCTGCAGGATTTCAGTCCTTCACGGCGTAGTGTGTTACCAATTGTTTTCTTGGTGACTATGGTCCCAGCTGCCTTGAGATCATTGACAAGATCCTCCCGTGTACTTCTGGGCTGATTCTTCACTGTTCCCATGATCATTGCAACTCCACAAGGTGAGATCTTGCATGGAGCCCCAGGCCGAGGGATATTTACAGTTATTTTGTGTTTCTTCCATTTGGCGAATAATCGCACCAACTGTTGTCACCTTCTCACCAAGCTGCTTGGCGATGGTCTTGTAGCCCATTTCAGTCTTGTGTAGGTCTACAATCTTGTCTCTGACATCCTTGGAGAGCTCTTTGGTCTTGGCCATGGTGGAGAGTTTGGAATCTGATTGATTGATTGCGTCTGTGGACAGGTGTCTTTTATACAGGTAACAAACTGAAATTAGGAGCACTCCCTTTAAGAATGTGCTCCTAATCTCAGCTCGTTACCTGTATAAAAGACACCTGGGAGCCAGAAATCTTTCTGATTGAGAGGGGGTCAAATACCTATTTCCCTCATTAAAATGCAAATCAATTTATAACATTTTTGACATGCGTTTTTCTGGATTTTTTTGTTGTTATTCTGTCTCTCACTGTTCAAATAAACCTACCATTAAAATTATAGACTGATCATTTCTTTGTCAGTGGGCAAACGTACAAAATCAGAAGGGGATCAAATACTTTTTTCCCTCACTGTATGTGATAGAATGAGACTGACTTTGACGAGATAGTAGAACAGACATACTGTATACTACACAGTATATGTGATGTAATACACAATGAAGGCAATTGCTATGAGAACTCATGGCTAGCAGGGCTGTGTTGTTACTCATACTTGGGAGATGTAGTTGCAGAACGACCAGACCAGCCAATTATGTTTGACGTTTCAGGAGTGGACAGGAGCTGACAAACTAACCATAAAAACACTGACTGTCACTATAGCGACAGGGATGATGGGCTGTCATCGGGGAAAGGAAAGAAGAGAAGGGTGGGACACGCACAAACACACCTGTCTGACATAACAGCAGCAGCAACTTAGCAGATAAATAGAGATGAACGCTTGATAAAGCAGCACACAGTGTGCCTTTTTAGATGCTTGCATCATTAGTTTTCTTTTTTCGCTAGCTGAGACTCTCGCTGTGTGGCGGCATCAATCGATCATCAGCCCACAGCATGCCAAAGGGGGAGAGAGAGGTCATCCTACCAGACAACACAGCATGGCTCAGAGACTCAGGTGCAGCAGAAAGACAGGCAGATGGGGAAGGGAGGAAGGGAGAGAGCGAGTGAGAGAGAGAGAAAGAGGAAGGTGAAGGACGAAGAGTGGTTGGATGCGGGTTTGAGGAGCCTGGAGCGAACATGGGATCTATAAACACTGTATTGGAATTGCTTTGGTCATGTTATACAGGATGCATGTGTGCAGTAAAGCAGTAAAGCAGTAAAGCAGTAATTCAGTAAAGTACTTGATTGAATTGAGTTGTATTGACAGGGGAAGGGGACTGTTGATGGTCAAGATGGGCTAAGGTCATGATGGGGTCACAGTGTTCAGAATGTGCTCAGGAAGAGACATCACACAAGTGTTAAATAGTACTATTCCAATAGGCCCTAGTCCGATCCCAACCATCCTCTAAAGGCTGCTACTGTCCACCCCATTTCCGGCACCATGATTCACCACTACAGAGCATTATAATTTTACAATTTTCATATACTGTACATACAGTGGGGGAAAAAAGTATTTAGTCAGCCACCAATTGTGCATGTTCTCCCACTTAAAAAGATGAGAGAGGCCTGTATTTTTCATCATAGGTACACGTCAACTATGACAGACAAATTGAGGAAAAAAATCCAGAAAATCACATTGTAGGATTTTTTATGAATTTATTTGCAAATTATGGTGGAAAATAAGTATTTGGTCACCTACAAACAAGCAACATTTCTGGCTCTCACAGACCTGTAACTTCTTCTTTAAGAGGCTCCTCTGTCCTCCACTCGTTACCTGTATTAATGGCACCTGTTTGAACTTGTTATCAGTATAAAAGACACCTGTCCACAACCTCAAACAGTCACACTCCAAACTCCACTATGGCCAAGACCAAAGAGCTCTCAAAGGACACCAGAAACAAAATTGTAGACCTGCACCAGGCTAGGAAGACTGAATCTGCAATAGGTAAGCAGCTTGGTTTGAAGAAATCAACTGTGGGAGCAATTATTAGGAAATGGAAGACATACAAGACCACTGATAATGTCCCTCGATCTGGGGCTCCACGCAAGATCTCACCCCGTGGGGTCAAAATGATCACAAGAACGGTGAGCAAAAATCCCAGAACCACACAGGGGGACCTAGTGAATGACCTGCATAGAGCTGGGACCAAAGTAACAAAGCCTACCATCATTAACACACTACACCGCCAGAGACTCAAATCCTGCAGTGCCAGACGTGTCCCCCTGCTTAAGCCAGTACATGTCCAGGCCCGTCTGAAGTTTGCTAGAGTGCATTTGGATGATCCAGAAGAGGATTGGGAGAATGTCATATGGTCAGATGAAACCAAAATATAACTTTTTGGTAAAAACTCAACTCGTCGTGTTTGGAGGACAAAGAATGCTGAGTTGCATCCAAAGAACACCATACCTACTGTGAAGCATGGGGGTGGAAACATCATGCTTTGGGGCTGTTTTTCTGCAAAGGGACCAGGACGACTGATCCGTGTAAAGGAAAGAATGAATGGGGCCATGTATCGTGAGATTTTGAGTGAAAACCTCCTTCCATCAGCAAGGGCATTGAAGATGAAACGTGGCTGGGTCTTTCAGCATGACAATGATCCCAAACACACCGCCCGGGCAACAAAGGAGTGGCTTCGTAAGAATCATTTCAAGGTCCTGGAGTGGCCTAGCCAGTCTCCAGATCTCAACCCCATAGAAAATCTTTGGAGAGAGTTGAAAGTCCGTGTTGCCCAGCGACAGCCCCAAAACATCACTGCTCTAGAGGAGATCTGCATGGAGGAATGGGCCAAAATACCAGCAACAGTGTGTGAAAACCTGGTGAAGACTTACAGAAAACGTTTGACCTGTGTCATTGCCAACAAAGGGTATATAACAAAGTATTGAGAAACTTTTGTTATTGACCAAATACTTATTTTCCACCATAATTTGCAAATAAATTCATAAAAAATCCTACAATGTGATTTTCTGGAATTTTTTTTCTCATTTTATCTGTCATAGTTGACGTGTACCTATGATGACAATTACAGGCCTCTCTCATCTTTTTAAGTGGGAGAACTTGCACAATTGGTGGCTGACTAAATACTTTTTTTCCCCACTGTACATGTCATATTATTTTGCTACATTCAGTACATTGCTCCCTGTTTCCTCTCCCAGTAGTAAAAAAATATTAGCAGAGCTACATGGTTGAACTACCTGACAATAATACAGTGTGCCGCTTAACATAGTAAATATTTAGAGTATAAAGTACTTTTTCATTTTTTTTTACATTTCTCCCCCTTTACAAAGAGATTGCGCTTTAGTTGTTCAAACACACACACCCATATACATACACACCCACATCCCCCCCCCCTTACTCACACACATACACACACACAAAAAAACAGCAAGTATAAAATAAGCACTCCCTGTATTCTATAGAAGCAATTATATATTTTCTCATTTCTTTTCACATTGGAAGATGCCTGTGCCTGTATGAACCAATTAGCACACTGTTACAGTATGAAATGTGTCCTTTTAAACAATGGTCTACTACAGGAAATCACCTGTAACCCTCAACAGGAAGTCACTGTGAGACAGGAAGTGACCCGCTGAGATGTCCTGAGATGATGTCTGACAGCAGGTTTCTGCCTCAGTCCAGAAAGTCTAGATGAGCAATGTCCCGTTGTCATAGTAACTGTGTAATGTGTGTGCTAACAAGCAAAATGGCTGAACAGTGGAACGAGTTGCTGTGAAAAAAACGATGTCAGTCAGTGGACTCTTGAATGTCGCTTCTCCAACTCAGAAAACAGTCTTAGGTCGCAAATTAAAATGACAAACACATGCGCTAGTGATGACTTGTCCAAGACTGCACTGCCATGAGTGATGATACCAATTTCTGTGTCACAGTCAGGAATTCGACATTGGGCTTCTTCTCGGCAGCGTTCTAATACGTCAACCTTTCACTCCAGTCAACATGGCCGTCGCTAGTACCTTTCACGGCTTCATATCGCCATGGCAACACCCACAGATACCGCTGCTCATCCCGTCTCTCTCAGACACAGATCTCTATGGCAGTAGCCATCACCATCTGGCTCTTGGTCTTCTCTCGCCCTGGAGAAGAGTGGTGCTGGCCAGGAGACTCCTCTCGAAGGGAGTGGGGGTCAGAGAGGACGCTCCTCTTCAGGGGCGCTGGGCGCAAGAGGGAGGTCGTCCCTGGGGGGGTGGAGGGCTCTGGGTGTCTGTGGGAGCGCGATGAGGAGGAGGACGAAGAGGAGGTAGAGGTGCAGCCTGCAGGGCATACACCAGATGAACTGGACCTCTCACCTCTCTTGGCTCGGCAGGAGGCACGGCGTCGGAGCTCGCTGACCAGCTCGTACTTGACAAAGCAGAAGACATCCTTCACGCCACAGCGCTTCTCAGGTTCGGGAGCTAGCAGCCGCTGGAACATGCGCAGGGCGTCATCAGTGAAGCGGCGCCACTGGGATGGATAGGCCGCTGTGGGGCACCCCGCCCGCTGCCAGCGCCGGAACTCATCATAGAAGGCGTCAGCGGGCAGCGCTGCCTCCCAGGGAAAGTTGCCAGTCAGCATGCAGAAGACAAGCACTCCGAATGCCCAGATGTCCAGACTGGTGGTCACCAGGAAGCCTTCGGCACGACTGGCGCGGCACACCTCCGGCGCCGTGTACGGGATGGTGCCACTCACGCGCTTCACCCGGCAGCCCAGTCGCCGCGTCATGCCGAAGTCAGCCAGCTTGACGCGTCGGCACTCGCGGTCGAAGAGGAGCACGTTCTCGGGCTTGACGTCACGGTGCACCAGGTTCTTGCTGTGCATGAAGTCCAGAGCCAGACCCAGCTGCTGCATACAGCGCTTCACCATCTCCTCCGGAAGACCCACCTACAGGGAGCAGGAGAGGAGGAAGGTGGGAAGAAAGAGAAAGGGGTGAACAGATTAGTTTGAGATTGAGATACAGTAGGGGAGGTAAACGAAGTACAATAAATGAAATGAGAAAGAAACAGAATGTAGGCGTAGAGGGAGTAAAGTGGGACAAAGAGGCTCTGTTAAGCGTTATGTTGCACTCATCTTTAACACCCTAAAGTAAGAACCTTTGAGTCTGGGTACCAGTCCCTCCACTGAAAAGCACTGAAATGAAACGAGAGCCCTACAGTACACTAAAGGAGCAGCTCAAGTCTGAGTAGGGACAAGGCTCCAATCCCAGAATCACAGAAGCACAGCGCTTTGAAACACTGCGCTTGATTGGCTAGGGTGTGGGAGAACAGTGATTGGTGGGGAGATGATAAGTATGATCCAGTACAGTACCTGGGGAGGAATGATGTCGAACAGGTCTCCTGCAGGGGCATACTCCTGTCCGAAGACGTAGCTATCCTCGGTCTCGAAGAGTACGTCCAGGACTTTGATGATAAAGGGGCTACAGCTCAGTGTTCCCGTCAGGCTGTACTCCCTCAGGAAGCTCTTCAGCTTCGTCTTGCTCTTAGTCACAAACTTCAGAGCCATTTTGGTGCCTGATATGTACACACAGAGATGGACAGAATAAATGAATGAATACTTTAATGTCCCATAGGGAAATTTGTTTGGCAACATTTCAGAAGACAGACACGCACGCACACAGAAACAAGCACACGCTCACACCCACACCTGAGTTAACAACATTACAATAACTCACATACTGTATCAACATACTGTACAGCAAGGTAATTATAGTTTTGTTTTTTATATTCGTTTTTATTTCTATTAGTGTTGGGATTTGTATTTGGAATTCAGTTTAGTTTCCGTTAGTTTTCAGACCTGTTTCAGTTGTATTTCGTTTTTTTATTATTACGTTTTAGTATACGTGGGCCAGGCTAGGAGCCATTTGTGTTGTATAGTTTTTGTGTGTGTTTATTTTCTAGGGGGCAGCAATACATAAGGTGATAGGTCAGGTCATAGGTTGAGTCAGTTCGTGCTTCCATAGCTCTGTCTATGAATTTGAGAGAGGTTACATTTCTCCAGAGCCATCCCTCAGCTTGTGGCGGGGAAAACGCTTTGTTATTTTTCAACTGCTGATTGGCCCTTTAAATTATAAAGTAAATGTCAATGTGACTAGGATTTAAAAGGAACAGTGCTGAAACTGGTGCAAAAAATATGGTGGAAGGAAACTCTCTCTCGCCCATATTTACACCAATCCAATGCTTTTTCACCTCAGTAGGACATGTAAGAAGAATCAAGTTAGCTACCTAGCGATTATTTCTAGTGATAGCTAGTGATAGTGATGTCGTCTCGGATATCCCAGACCTTGAAGTATCATAAGACAGGCAAGCAACCTGTCTTTCTAGAGAGACTAATAGTGATGCACAAACTAGACCTATTTGAAACATCGGCATCTCCTGGCAGCATTTACCCGCCAGATTCAGTAAGTTGAAAACCCCATTAGATTTTCTCCCCAAAGCTTAGAAGAAAAACTACAATTTTATTTTAGTTCGTTTTGAAGTCAACGATAATAGTTTCATTATAGTTTTCGTTTTTCAAACTGGTTTGTTAATTATTTTAATTCAGTTTACTAAATTGTTTTTTCATGATTAGTTTTAGTTTCAGTTTATTATAAAAACCTTGCTGTATAGTATCAGAGCAATATCTTAGGCAAGGCAATATAAACTTAACTGACACTTATTAAGTTAATTGAACTAAATGCCTGTGCTATCTGATTCTGTGTATCTGATTCCAGCTTCCTCTGTGCTCTGAAACACACCCTCAGCTGTTTACTACTCACACAGCTGTGGAAGCAGAGCTTCTTAAGCCGTGTTCACATTGGTAGTTTGAAGTGACTCAAATCCTATTTATTTGCACATACGATTCAAATCTGTTCTTTTTCCTGCAGTCTGAACAGCCAAAAAGCACATGGAATCTGATATTTCAAGCCACATTTCAAACCACCTAGTCAGATACAAATCTGATTCCTGGCCATGTGACTTGTGTCTGAATGGTCAAATCTGATTGATTTGCCCTCAAGTGGTTTTTAGACTGTTATTTGGCATATCTTGTCGCTTACTAGCTACTCTGTTGACAGTTTGACAAGAACATGTGGTAGATAACTGACTTGTTAATAGTTTACAAACAAATGACTGAATGTGCTAGAAAGCTAAACAGCTACCTAGCTACCTCGTTGACTGCTGTGGCTAGCCAAAAATGACTCGTTTTGAAAGCTGGATCATCTTATCCTTTGAGGCTTTAAAAGTGTTCTTACCCTATGATTTTGAACAGTCAAAGCAACTGGGAAACGTCCATGGCAGGCATTGTTGTCGCCTTAGCTTGCTACATAACTTCTGAGTGATAGGAGCATGAGCACCACCACCAATCAGCCTACATCACTGCACACATACCCATCATTACTATGACAACTAGAATAGCCTTTGCAGCAAATGACTGCTGTCTCAACACACACAAATCCGATTTGGTCACTTGTAACTTGCTGTTTGGACAATCAGTAGTCCAAAACGGATTTGAAAAACTAAACTGATTTGAGCATTAAGGCCTGCACTTTTACCCAGTCTAGTGCCCTCTTCACCTTAATGGCATGTAACCTTGTAATTAAGAGCCCTTACACCCTGAAGTCTTACAGTATCGTGACCTTTGACCTCACAATGCCCTGTCACTGTAGTGCCCTTTTTCATTGAACCCTTGATTTAGCTTTCATTCTATGGCACCCTCTGGCTCTCTGATCACATTGTAGTATGACTGTGTAAACTCTATGGAAACTTTTGCCCCTAACAATGTCCCTTCACATGCATGCCCTCTGACTCACCCTTTGTGCGGTGTGCCACCAGGTCCACCTTGCCATAGGTACCCTTGCCCAGCTCGCAGATGTGCTCGTAGTGTTTTGCCATGTCTGCAGCCGGCAGGGAGGTTATGGCCAGAGCCTGCATGTCCTCCACAGGCACCCCTCCACCACCGCAGTAGCCCACGTTGGAGGTGGGAGAGCCCCCACCACTGCCCACCCCCAACGGAGACAGAGACATGCTCGCCTTGACGCTGTGGGGCAGACTGTGGATAGAACAGAACACAGACAGACAACATAAATTCATGTGTCTGAGGCAAGAAAAACGGTGTTACGCTAAATACAGCAGGCTTATTGGTGATACCACAAATAAATGTGACAACTTGACCTTGAATGTCGTTCAGTGTGTGTGTATGTGTGTGTGTGTGCATGTCTGCGTGTGTGTGCATGTCTGCGTGTGTGTGCATGCATGCACACTATGTGCAAGTGAATGACTATAACCGAAAGTTTGAGTTCATCTTCATTTGCATACAATCAATGCAGTGGAAGAGGAGCAGAAAGGGATCAAATTAAATCAAATCAAGCTTTATTTATACAGCACATTTCAGACATGAAATGCAACGCAATGTGCTTTACAGGAAAAAAAAAACATAAAAAACTATGAAAATAAAAGCTGAAATATTTACTACACAACAAACATAAGATACAAAACAGAAGAATGACACAAACTGAACAACTAAAAAAGCCTAAGGAAAAGCAAAGCAAAAAAATATGTGTTTTAAGATCTCTTTAAAATATTTCCACAGTTTCAGCCCCCCTCTGGTTCTCTGGCAGGCTATTCCAGAGGCTGGGGACATAGTAACTAATGGCTGCCTCTCCATGCTTATTGGTCCTAGGCTTTGGGATAGTTAAAAGGCCAGTGCCAGAGGACATGAGGGACCTACTGGGTACATAACTTAAAAGCATGTCTGATATTTATTGGGGTGCACAATTGTGGATTGATTTAAAAACCAATAGAAGAATCTTAAAATTAATTCTAAAACTCACAGGCTCTCCGTCTGGTCTTGGTCAATACCCGTGCTGCAGCATTCTGTATGTTTTGCAGTTGACCAATGGATTTCTTGGGTAGACCAGACAGGAGAGCATTACAGTAGTCAAGCCTGCTTGTAATAAAAGCATGGATGAGTCTCTCTGTATCAGCCTGAGAGAGAAACGGCCGCACCTTGGCAATGTTCCTCGGGTGGTAAAAAGCTATTTTGGTCACATTCCTAATACGTGATAAAACATTTTGTTCAGAATCTAAAATAACACCTACGTTTTTTACCTGCTCTGTTATCTTTATTGCCTGTGAATTAAAATGTGCAGCTAGATTCTCTCTCTGTGCTTTGGCTCCAACAATAAGTACCTCGGTCTTCTCTTGATTTAGCTGGAGGAAGTTGTGAGCCATCCAAGTATTTAAATCATTAATACAGTCTAATAATTTATCCATGGAGCTAAAATCCTCTGGTGACACAGAAATGTAAAGTTGGGTATTGTCTGCGTAGCAGTGAAAATCAATGCTGTGCTTTCTGATAACGCTGCCAAGGGGTAACATATATAAACTGAACAGTACCGGACCCAAAATTAAAACTTGTGGAATGCCACATGTGATATGTATTTTCTCTGAGTTATGTTCACCAAAGGTGACAGAAAACTCTCGACCGGTTAAATAGGTTAAAAACCAATTTCTCCAGAATTTTGCTTAAGAATGGAAGGTTGGAGATTGGCCGAAAATTGCTAAAAGCTGAACAATCTAGATTATATTTCTTCAGAAGGGTTTTCACCATAGCAGTTTTTAGTGGAGTGGGGAAAGTGCCTGTAAACAGGGAGTGATTACCAATAGATTGCACTTCTTCAGATATGCAATTAAAAACAGTTTTGAAGAGAGTGTTGGGGATTGGATCGAGGAGGCAGGTAGAAGGCTTAAGTTGTGATATCACTTTCCTGAGCATGTCTGTGTCAACCAGGGAAAATACATTCATAGTGCCTTTGTAATTGCCTTGTTATATACACTACCGGTCAAAAGTTTTAAAACACCTACTCATTCAAGGGTTTTTCTTTATTTTTACTATTTTCTATATTGTAGAATAATAGTGAAGACATCAAAACTATGAAATAACACATATGGAATCATGTAGTAACCAAAAAAGTGTTAAACAAATCAAAATATATTTGAGATTTGAGATTCTTCAAATAGACACCCTTTGCCTTGATGACAGCTTTGCACACTCTTGGCATTCTCTCAACCAGCTTATAATAATAATAATAATAATAATAATAATAATAATAATAATAATATGCCATTTAGCAGACGCTTTTATCCAAAGCGACTTACAGTCATGCGTGCATAAATTCTTTTATTTTTATTTTTATGTATGGTTCATAGTTCTCAAGGACAATAGACAATAGTTCAGATAAATCAGTAAAGAAAGTGGGGCAGTGCTTTGGTGGCCTACACAGGGTTATGGCCAGCACTGGTGGCTGACATTTAAACAGTATGGCATGATGCTCGAAATACCCAAAGTCGACAAACAAAATGTCCTTACAGCTGAGAGCATTAGTAGAAAATGAGGCTGTCCCGACCCCCTTTTTCCCCTTTTCTGATAGAAAAGCTGTAGTCCGGGGGGGGAGGCTTCAATAAGAGCGGCACTACAGTCTGATGACTGCCATGTTTCAGTGAGAAACATCCAATCAACTTTGCGCTGAGTAATGAGGTAATTCATGAGAAAGGTTTTACTTGTGATTGCTCTAACATTTAAAAGCGCCAAACGAGGGTGGTCTATGGTGATCGGTGGGATTGGCTGAGAGTGGCTGATGTATTACTGTTATGTGATTGCTGTATATAAAAGTACCATGTATGTAAAATGTGTATGTAAAATGTAGATGTAAAATGTATGTATATGTAGCAGAAAAGCTGTAAAAACAAAGAAATATATGTGTCCTCCGAAGAGGGGGAGTGGTGGCTGGGTTAAAAAGTGCCATATTCAATGAGTGTGGGCCACACTGCCCCTGGGGCATCGGCCACGAGGTAACCAAATTATTAACGTTACAACCACATTTTCTGACAGTGTCCAATCTATCAGAATGGTAGGAGATTAGAAGGCAGAGCTAAAGGAACATAAATTAGGTTACCCACAATAACCATAGTGCCGTTTCTACAGGAGTTGATATGGTTTCCAAGTAATCTGTTGCTTATTCTGACAGGGAGAACTGGAGCACTACCAGACCCTGTCCGTCAGTCTCTAAAACATTTTGCGATGTTGCTGGAAATAATCCTGGAACCCCTGCGGTTAGGGTGAATCCCGTCTCTTTTAAAAAGTGCCGGTTGCTCCCACAGTAAATCAAAGTTGTCACAAAAACAGACATTCCTGTCATTGCAAAGTTTCTTTGCAAGGTTGTGTGCTTGGTAAACATATTTGACATAGAGTCCCTCTGGGCAGTTAGATATGGTTCTTACACTCTTAGAAAAAAAGGTGCTAAGTATAACAATATAGGGTTCTTTGGCTTGTCTCCATAGGGGAACCCTTTTTGATGCTAGGTAGAACCCTTTACAGAGGGTTCTACCCAGAACCCTCTATGAAGGGTTCTTCCTAGAACCCTCTATAAATGTATTTTTTTTTATCAAGAACCCCTTTATCATCTAAACTAAAGGTTCTTCCTATAACCCTCTATGAAGGGTTCTACCGATAACCCTTTTATCTTCGAATGGTTCTTCCTAGAACCCGCTATGAACGGTTCCACCAGCCTTATTAGCCTTTAAAATTAAACTCTTTATGACAATACATTACATATATCATAAGGCCTTCTGAGGGCCTAGTTATACCCTAACACAGTGGTCTGAAACTCCTGGTTTACAGGCTACATCAGGCCTGCAAGTCACATTATGCTGGCTTGCAAAGTGATGTGTAATTCCTATTGGAAACCAGCCAGAGTGAGGATATTCAATTGGAACTTATAATTACCCGCAACCTGCATTTAGAATAACTGCAAGGGTAGGGAAGATTGATTACTTAGACTTAGAAATCATAAAAAACTAGACCAATCATCTTAGTAACGGATGCAACAAGTCTAACTACAAACAGATTGGATTAGTTTAGAAACATTTATGTTATTTATCTTTGTGTTGCTAGGATTAATCAACAAATGTGTCACACCCTGATCTGTTTCACCTGTCTTTGTGCTAACAACAACACTGGGGTTATTTTACACCAATGAGTGTTAAGTTAATTTAACGCCTGAAAGTGAATCAACACTAGAAATGTTACACTGAAAAATCAACACTAGGTAAAACTGGCCAATTTTCTGTGTAACATACAATATACTGCTGGTTCATTCATACTCCCTTCCATTCTCCTACTCTCTGCTCAATAAAATCACAGAAAATACTCATTTAAAAGACAGAAATCATGACAAAGATATCAACTACAGTGGGGTCCAAAATTATTGACACCCTTGATAAAGATGAGAAATATTGACTGTATAAAATAAATAATTCTAATACTGAGCTATATTGTATGCTCAAAAACATTTTGTATACTAATACAATTGCTCAGAGAAGGAGATGTTGTACATTTATTTCTCAGAATCCTGTGGGTCAAAATTGACACCCCTCATGATTCGTATAAATAAAGTAGTCAAAAGTTTAGTATTTGGTCCCATGTTTCTAGCATGCAATGACTACATCAAGCTTGTGACTTAGAAACCTGTTGGATGCATTTGCAGTTCGTTTTGGTTGTGTTTCAGATTATTTTGTGCCCAATAGAAATTAATGGTAAATAATGTATTGTGTCATTTTGGAGTCACTATTATTGTAAATAAGAATAGAATATGTTTCTAAACACTTCTAAATTAATATGGATGCTACCATGATTACGGATAATCCTGAATGAATCGTGAATAATGATGAGTGAGAAAGAGGGTAAGAGATAATTCTCCCAAGACATGCTAACCTCTCACCATTACTAATAGCAGGGGAGGTTAGCATGTCTTGGGGGTATGATCTTTGACCCTCTGTAACTTGTTCACTCATCATTATTCACGATTCATTCAGGATTATCCGTAATCATGGTAGCATCCACATTAATGTGGAAGTGTTTAGAAACATATTCTATTTTTATTTACAATAAAAGTGACTCCAAAATGTTTACTACTTTATCAAGGGTGTCAATAATGTTGGACCCCACTGTATTTCAGTACTGTATA